CTCCAGGTACTCGGCGTAGTCTGGCGGCCTGGAGAGGCTCTCTCCGCCGCAGCCCTCCGTCAACGGCGCGTTGAAAGCCATTTGGCTGTTTGTCGCTCCGGGCATTAGCCCCCGAGTGGAGCGCCGAGCCCCTGACGAGGATTCAATTGGCGAGGAAAACAAGTGGCATGTGAAGGGAGAGGGAGGGGGGGATGGGTATGGGGGGGGGGGGGCTCAGAGATGGCTGTTTGGGAATTATCTTCTCAGCCAGAGCCGAGGAAGAAAGAGGCACTTAGAGGTATCTTGTTCATTACAAATGCATGAGGAATATTTTGCATGTGTATGTCTTTCTATTTTGAGCTTGTGCACACAGGAAGGAGGCGGCTTCCCTCTCAGCGGGGAGACGTATGGAAATGGGCTGTTTTCCAACAGATTACATCTGATTTGGTTAGGGCTCAAGTCCTAACGTAGACGGGATTTTTTTTATTCGCGTTTTGAGTTGTGTGTGCAGACGCGTTAACTCTCACCATCGGCTGCTCAAAGACGCACAAACACCCAAACAACGAGTGTGTAGCTCTGCAGCTTCCCTCGCCCGGCCATGAAAACGAAGCCTGTCTCACAGCCGGCAGTAACCTCGTCAGCCTCCCCCGAGAGGATCTGTGTGTGTTCTTCTCCTCGGTTTGTTTTGGCTTTGACACAGATCGACCATCATCACCCTGGCAAACAATTCCAGGACTCCTGCTTAAATTATTCATTTGCACAAGCTCCGTTTCTCCTTCCCCTCGCTCCCCCTTTCGCCCTCTTCCTCCAGGAAACAGACACGGCACTTTCTCACTTTCCCCCCCTCGCTCATTCAACAAGTGAGGAAATGTAGAAAAAAGCACATCCACAAAATGGCCTCCTGGGGTGGAAACGTGGGAGAAAAACGCCACGGGATCCGCCCACAATTGAATCCGGACGCTAATCTGTCGTTTTCTCCTCGTGGTGTTTGCGATTTACTTTAAGAGCTGAAGTTCGAATCAAAATCTAGACGTGGTAAACAAGCCGAGCGGAGCACAGAGGCAGAGAAAACAAAGCGGCCCCGCCACGCCCTCAGCAGCCAGCAGGGCTCGTTGCTGAGGCGGCCTAATGAGCTGCGCTAATTAAAATCACTTATTGACAGCGAGCGAGGGTGATTACCTCCAACCCCGAGCTCTCCGCCATCATAAGAGACACTGTCAAAACAAATTACCTCCCAGCAGCCTCACAGATCCCTTTCATAGCAGCCATTCAGCTCAGCAGAGCGTCTTGAATTTCAGCATCAAAAGGCGCCGGCGTGTTAGCATGTAGAGGACATGTATGTGCACCCCCCCCCACCCCCCCCCCCCCCCCTCCCGGCCCAGCTTTGTCTGGATAACAACACAAAGTGAATATAAAACGCCTTCCTCCTCCTCTCACCCCCACAACGGGGACGGCTACGGGCCGTCTGTTTACCTCTCGCTGATGTCATCACAAACACTTGTTCATCTGGGAGAGGGGGGGGGGAGAGGGGGGGAGTGGCAGCAGTCATGCATTATTCAGAGAGCTCTCCACTGCGCTTATTGACAAACAAAGGAGATGCACGGGACGAGTCGATTAACCCATTTGCCCCGAAGCCTCTCTCCTCTCCAGACGCCGGCCACCTTG